TATATATATATATATATATATAATATATAATATATATTATATTATAGGTATATGTGTTGGGTATGTATGCCGTTGTACAACAACATACTGGGTGCTTTGTATGCATTTGGAACCCTAAAGAGATACTGCAGATGACAACTTGAGCGTTATTAAAATGTGCAGTTAACTAGTCAATATTATATAAATTTTGTTTCCGTCGCGCTGGAGGGTTTAGGGTTTGTGCGGTTGTCGTTTGTTTTTGTGTACAATATATATTTTGGATTGTTCTTAAGGTAATAAAGTTTAAAAAGAAATAGTTAAAAGGAATAATATGGGTAGTTAAGGGCTGCAAAATGTCTCTTCTGCCTTCTTCCCTCCCTACGGTGGCCGGCCTGTACACCTCAGCACCGTTTTGGAGGAGCCGCAGCAAATGTTTTATTTTTTACATTTCTTTTATTCTTCTTTTATCTTTAACGGACCTTTTTAACAATTTTAAGGCAATTAAGGAAACGGGCGTAGATATTAATACAACGGTGAGCTGCAAACGCAAACACAGAAGAAATAATAAACACTACAGGTAAAAGACGACGCAATGGGAGGTGGCAGAAGAAATACAATTAAATCAACCCATAAATGTCAACACACAGATAAAGCAACAAACAAAGAAATGCACCCAACCCTAAACCCTAAATACAATAAATAACAGGATGACAGTACATCAAGAGATATTAAAGTAAACTGAATGATGAAGTACAACGAACATAACAGTAGATAGTATAAAAGAGACAGTGGGGCAAACAAAGACAAATCTGCATTGAAAAATGAACAGACACACGCAAATATATGCCGGCAAAAGCACAAACCAACAAAGCAAAAAAATAATAAATAACGCACAAGGCGCTACCTATGATTTCTTCATATCTCTATGGACAAGTCGAGACCTGCAACAAAAAGTAACACGCAAATACAGGCAGCCAAGCCCTAAACCCTAAACCCTCACCAAAACCCTAGACCCTCACCAAAACCCTAGACCTTGGAACAAACCTTTGTAGCGATTGGTTGTGTCTGTTTGCTTCTTTAGCCGGAGGTGTTGCAAAGTATTTCGAAAGCTCTTCATGACGTCGTCGTCTTTGTCTGAAATCAGCAACAAACCCTAGACGCCAAACACTAAGCCCTAACACTCGTTAAGCAGCCGGCAACAGAAGGCACATGATTGAACAGATCAAGTAAATACATAATATATATTTGCATATTTGTATATCTAAAATATATGCAAAATAAAATAGCTGGCAGGCAAACACAGCAAACCTAAAAATGCACTCAACAATAAGCGCAAATGCCTTACTTACCTAATTCAGCAAACCTGCAATGTTCGGCACATAACGCGAGGAGATTCTGAATGAAGTCTGTTGTCACCTGAACCACAAAAACAAGTTTAGGGTTCACCGCGTTTAGGGTTAATCCAGTAGCACGAAACACTCATCTACGACATAAGGATTCAGGGTTAAGGGTCTGATTGCTGTTTAGTGACGAACACTGCCAAGCATCTCGCTCTGCCTGTCTCCAGGGTTTAGGGTTCAGGGTTTATGGTGGGTTACTTCTGTGTTGTTTTGGTCGAAATAGTAAACATATTTGTTAAGGATCTCAATAAAGAGAGAAACATGAGAAGAATTCGTTTGAACTGTTAAATCTGCTATCTTTAAACACTTTTGCAGACACTCTAAGACTCGGCGGCTGTCGCGGTAGGCCGCCTGCAGCATCCAAGCGAAGCGAACAGAGAGGAAATACAAAGATGATTGACAAGCGTATAGTACCAATGTATCCAATTACAAATAGATAAATATTAATTGCTTATTGGTAATGAAAGGAGAAATAGGCACGAAAGGAACACCATGGGAGCGAAAACATACAAGACACTTCTGCACGGGCAGCAACGTGAAAACCAATACGATGAATAAGCAAGTATAGAGGGAGGATTTACGTTGCAAATTTGAGCGAAAGAAAGTTGATATTAGCATCCAATAAATAAAGAATATTTTTGCATTAAAATTGAAACAGACGGCAGCATCCAATCAACATAAAACAGGAGTTGTCTTGCATAAATGAAATAAAATGCGAATCAAGGAGTGAATATTGCATGCATTCTTTTACTTACCGTATTCCAGTAGAGATGCGAGCAAGACAGCACTGCCCGGCATTGATCTACTTTCTTTAGGAGTTTTGCTGCGTGTTGGGTCATTTTTGTGGCTAAACTTTCAAAAATTTCTCTCTCTAAACCGACAATAAAGCCCGCAAAACAGCCAACCATCTGTAAAGAAATAAACACAACATAAACCGCATTTTGCCACAATTTCCAACCCGCTACGGCACACAGACGGCTGCACGCGGCACAGAAAGTCCCAGAAATACACATGCATCAATTATACATATATAAATACAATTAATAATAACAAATACGCAAACGACAAATTAATAACACATAGCATAATAATAATATAAACACTTCAAGAAAATGCACCAAAAACACGTGGCTAACTGACACAGAACAAGCAAAAAACTGACAAAATGTCCGACAAATAACACATAGTAACAAATAAATAACAGATACATGACGAATAAGTAACAAACAGATAAGAAGCACAAAGAAAGCACCAAACACACAAGGAGGCTAGTCAACAAACAAGCAAACAGGCGATAAGAATAGTAAATGGAATGAAAAGAATAGGAAGAAGACTAACCTGTGTGATAGCAGCAAACTGTGTTTTGCTGTCGGTGATTTCTTCTTCAAAACAGACCAAAGCTTGCGATGCAAATTCTTCGCAAATTGGTCCAAAGCCTCCCACTGCAATATTCGCATTATCGGCAGCCATGCAGGAAAGGAGCAACATCCTTAGGGCCGTCTGCGCAACAAATAACATGCAATATCAGGACTATATATTGTATGTTAGACGTATATTAAAATTACTGTATATATTATGCGGCCATAGCCATAAAAACTAAGAAGAACCAACATAACAAATCACGACTAACAAGACAACAAAACAACGACGACGGTGAGCAATGAGTTTGTTCTTCCACAAAAAGCAAATAGAATAGGTAAGCAAAATTATTATTCATAATTTGTGCTATTGTGTTTAAAAGACTAACACACAGTCCTTACCTCGGGAGAAAGAGGAACTAGCTGCAAGCAGACTGCATGCAGCAGCTGACAGACGCGTTTACCAGTATGCTGGGGAGGCTTTTCAATTCCCTCCTCTGCTGCTGTTTGCCGCTGCAGCACTTGAGGCAGCAGACGGCAAGCAGCAACAGCAAGCGGAGGCAGCAGCACGCGCTGCTGGAGCGCCCCCCCTGCAACAGCAACACCAGCAGCAAGGGGAGTAAATAACCTTTGGGATTTGTTTTTAACTGATACAACGGAGGAGAGCGACTAATTAGCTGGTAAAGAACAACTAAAAACAGGGTAAATAGACCAATAATTAGACAAAAAAATGCCTCAAAGTGGACAGGCTAGATATACCACTGGAGTAAAATGGGAATGAGTAATTAAATACAGGAGGAGAGAAATGGACAAGAAAGTACACCACTGAATGAAGGAGGCAATAAATGAGCAACATATATAGACAATTGTATATATAATATATAACTATGCACCTAATATATGCCCTCACCACAACGTAAATAAACTAAATGGAAGAAAAACACAAACCTTGCGAGAAAGCATTCTTCGCCGCTAAAAGAATGTTGAACTGTTCGTCTGTATCTGCTCCCTTTGCAAGGTGGACGAGCATTGCAAGTTGCTGCAGATGTTGCGCTGCTGCGGCTGCGGGCGCTGCTGCTGCTGCTGCTGCTGCTGCTCCTGGTGCATGTGCGTCGTCCTGTCCCGTCTCCCCGCTGCTGCCGTGAGCGTTCTTCGCATTTTCATCTCCACGAATTAAAGGGTAAACAAGGGCCAAAAAGTGACTAAAAACATGAGAAGAAGTTAACGGTACGCGTGCTGTCACGACGGCGTCGACCATCGCCTTTGCCACTACAATCAAGCAAAAACACAAAATGAAACAAAATATAAGAGGAAACGGGAAAAACAACAACATACCACAGGGGCAGCAACACATAATCTACGGCTGCTGCCGCCGCAGGCACCTGGATCAGGCGTGTGTGCGGCAGCAAGAGCAACAGAAACAACAACAGCACTGTTTACCTTGAGATCGGGTGTCTGTGTCTAGGAAGTCCATGAGGGGGGCGTAGCTGCTTATGTTTAACACCTGCAGCGACAAGACCTTTAAGGGATTTGTAAGAAGCTCGCCGACGGCCTCCATGCCCGCCTCAGGCAACATCTTCAGTTGCATTGAGCTGGTGTCGATTGCTGCCGTTGCTGCTGTTGCTGGGCCAGCTGCACCAACAGCACCAACAGGAGGTCCGTAGCCTGCATCCCCGCAGACACCTGCGGGGCTGTGCAGCTTGGCCAGACTTGGAGGCGACCTGCCGCCTGCTGCAGCGGCAGCTGCTGCTGCTGCTGCTGCTTCTGCTGCAGCAGCTGAAAGCCGCTGACAAGTGGCTACTAGCAGGCGGAATGCGCCGTCAAGAATGGAGGAAATGTATTCAACACGCGTGGGAAACAAAGTCAAACAAAAACTCTGAAATACATCCTGTAAACCAAGCAAGCTCGAAATGTCCATCGTCCCTGCATTCACAGTCAAGCACATACATGCATGCATGTGCGCATCCATGTGTGCATGCATGCATGCATGCGTGTGTCCATGTATGCATGCGTGTGCGTGTGTGGGTGTGTGTGTGTGTGTGGGTGGGTGGGTG